AACTTGGCATCGGAGCGAACTAGCATAGTACTTATTTCTATTTCAATATCCCATACAAGCAAATAGTTTACTTTTCTCATCTGACTGTTCTCAGATGGAAGCAAGCTGACTAATTATATATATATATATACATGTCTGAATCATGCGGTGTATCAGCTTTCTCTATCTTGACTAAGAGTAAAGTGCAAAATGTTGAAACAACTTTAAATTTTCTTTTCATTTTTCTTTTGCTCTTTTCTACAGTAAACACTGTGTCTGATAAGATAATTTCGGATGAGAAAAGGTGAAACGTGTGCATGTTAGGTGGTGTGTGGAGGCATATTCTTTTTCTATTTGTGACATATTGCAATCGAAAGCACATACAACTTTCCTTTTTATTAAGAGACGACTATGGCGCGAACTTCTGCTGGAGCATCTGATTATGATTTTATTTTTAAATTAGTTCTTATAGGTGATAGCTCTGTTGGAAAGGTATAATTAATTAATTTGAAATTTTTTGTATGTATATTAAAAATTTCTTTTATTTAGAGTAATCTTTTATTACGTTTTACTCGTAATGAATTTCGTCTTGATACTCAATCAACAATTGGGGTTGAATTTGCTTATAAACAGCTTGCCATTGATGGAAAAAAAATTAAAACTCAAGTTTGGGTAAATATACAATAGTGGAGAGCAGCCTCCGCCGTAGAAGATCTCAATCATTATAAATGCTGAAAGCTTGAGAATTTTTGTGCACATGCATGGCCAAGAGTGTAGTTCCGATGGTTTCAGTATAGAGAGCATGATGATGGAGGAGAGTGGTTTTTCTGCATTAAGTTTCTTAACCTAAAAAAAAGGCTGTCCACTCAATTTTGTACAACTTTTTACCAAATACATGATTAATTCTTGATGGTTTTGAGTGCAACTGGAGTCCAGGCTATGATCGTTCCTTAGCCAAAAGATGAGTTCATTTACTTGAATGCTAGTGTATGTGAATGTTTCTTAAAGTTCCATCTCATCAAAGTGATTATCATAACTGTGCAATTTCCCATCAGTATATCTTTTTTTTTAAAAACTTGTAGACACTAATGCCGAACTGTAGAAGTAGCTTTTCCAACAAACGAATTACCCAATAAGGATATCCGCCATTTAAGCTCACGTTAGACTCACAGCTAGAGTGAGAATAGCAAAAAAGTCTAAAAAGATTCGTCTCCATGGAACTTTGTCCCCGATTTATGATCGGTTTACTGAATTTTTGTGCTACAATTATGTCTATAAATAGATCTAATGACTGTTAGAATATTTTGAAAGTTTCTACTGAAAAGAATGTCCTTTCATCAAGATATTGAATTTCTAAAAATAGCCCTTGTTAACAGAAACTGTGTTCCACTGAAAATTCTTTTCGGTTGAAAATTTCATGACATTCTAACAGTTATTATTGCAATATATAGACAAAATTTTGAATAAGAACATCGTTATCTAGTCTCTCAGAGAGTACCTAAAAATGGGTTAAAAACCAGTAAACCAATCATTACTCGGCACCAAAGAGCATTGAGAACTCACGGGTAGTTCTATCGTAAGAGTTTGATCTTCATTCATTAGTGTTCTACTGCGTTCTCGACTCAAAATGGAAATTAAACGATTTTTCGTCACACCAACAGTCACATCTATAGTGGCCACAGTGTTAGAGAAGGTTGATGTGCTTCAATGAACTTAATTGCATGAATAGCTGAAATACAACGCTGCATAATGAGCAGTTAACTGATCTAGAAAGTTCATCTTTTCCGCAATTATGAAGTTCAAAGATGATATAGGCGTCATTCATTGTGTGCACACGAATTTTCAGACATCTAGCAGTTATAATGGTCGAGATCCTCTAGAGTGAAGACGTTTGTTTACTACTGTATATAAATTTATTTATTTGTTTATTGAATTCATTTATATTTTGTCATAATTTTCATAATAGGATACAGCAGGTCAAGAACGTTTTAAAACAGTTATACCACAATTTTATCGTGGTAGTGAAGGTGCTTTAGCTGTATTTGATTTGACTAAACCTGATTCATTTGATCATATAACAACTTGGATTGAAGAAGTTCATCGACATACACCAGCTGATCTACCAATTGTTCTTGTTGGAAATAAATCAGATTTGATTGACCAACGTAAAATATCACGTGAACAAGCAACATCTCTTGCTGAACAACTTAATTTATCATATATGGAAACATCGGCATTAAATGCATCCAACGTTGAACAAGCATTTGTTTTACTTGTTACAAGTATTTATCAGAAGAAAATGCCTAAACAAATGGATTCATCATCGACAACAGCAAAATCATCATCAGAAACAGTATCTATGGATTATTCACAAGCAGCAACTGTTCCTGTTGCGTCCGATCAAACGATTATGTTTGACAGACCTATTCGTCCATCAAATAATGAAAAGGCATCATCGAAGAAAAACGGTTGCTGTGTGATTTCGTGATGATGTTCAATTAAATTTTATGCGATATATTTTTTTTCCTTAGGAATGAACAAAAAAAAGACAATTATTTAATTGTTTACCATGAATTCTTATCGATAAAACTAACAAACAATGCTTTGATGACTTACAGAAATTTTATAAATATGTTATTACAAGAAATTAACTTCATTGAAGAGAAATAATATATTTTAATAAGTTTTAGAATTGTCTAACACGCGATACAGAAGTCTTTGAAAAAATGGTCAAACTCTGTTGTACCATATTGCTCAGTTCTAGATCAAGAAAATGTTGTTTTTTGTTAGAAATAGCTATGTTTGAACTACAAGTTTAGTCGGAACTCAAACACCTTCAAAAAAGCTCTTACAACGTTTTTCTAACTTGAAAAATCTGTATTTCTGAGGTTTTTTGAGCTACATGAATGTATCAAATTGCAATAAAAATACTTCAAAATATAGCGTATCGAAAACTCTATCAATATTAGTGTTGAAAAAATTCGTTAAATCAATTCCTGACTCTTTAATCAAAAAAGTTCGAAAAATGGAATTTTTGTAAAAAAAGTACAATCTTTTCCAAAACAATCTTGTACTGTTTCTAAACGATCAGGTAGTTAGAATGACAAACTTACTCAGTCTATTTTAGAAAAAAGCTATATTTTCGTATAAAAACCAAGAGTAAATTTAACTTCCATATACAATATTACAAAGAGCACTATTTACGCTACATAAGTCAACATTAAATGTGTTTTTTCATTTCTCTTTTCATTCAAAAACAATTTAATAGAAAATACGAAATTATGTTGCTCGATAATGAAGTTACAAGAACTTTTTTGGAAGTATTTAGTTTTGAGCTTTTCCTCCTTGTCAAGTTCATTCTGGAAAAATATGTCTGATAGAAAACTTTTAATAGTTCCGGCATTGCTCTTTCATAGAAAAAAGAATGATTGATTTAAAAGTTAGCAATATGATATAACAGAATAAAAATTTTTGAAAAATTATTGGTTATAATAATTTATTATTAATAATTAGTAACTAGAGAAAGGTTTTGTTATGAACTTAATATACTGTTAGAAAAAACATTAACATTCGAGAAACACCATGTTTTTGTTTTACAATGACTCTTTATAATAGGCTTTTTTAAAATATTAATGAGTACTTAATTAATACTCTATTAATAATTAGGAAAACTGCGATTTAACTATAAATTTCAGAACTTTAAAAACCAGTGCATATTGTAGAGGAGACTAATTTCAATGATGATTTTCAGCTGTTTTTCGCTTGCTCCACACTAATATTTTCAAAATGCTATATTAGATGGAGAATAAGTTGCAAAGAAAACTGCTAGAACTCATTAAATAAAACAAAGTCTGTTCTATAAAATGTACTATTTTTCATAGTTGTCAAGTCTATTGTTAGATTACAGTTTTCTTAATTATTAATAAAGTATTAATTTAATCTTAATTAGTGTTTAAAACATATCCTGTTAAGAAAACAAAACGATTCTCTAGTTAGTAACTAATAATATTAAGTTATTATAACCAATAGCTTTTCAAAAATTCACTTAACACGAGACATGGGCATGAATAGTGCGACTTGTTTTCCCAAGAGTATCATATTTCAGGAAGCAGAACAAATATATCTACCTTTGGACTACCTTGTAGTATAGAGTGCTGCCTAGTGGCAGATTTAGCAGTCTAATATTATCTTTACAACTAGTACAAGATGTAGCTCAAACAGAAGGAAAACCTGACCCGGACTTTTGGTGCTCAATTCCTTGAGGTTTTAATACATACTAACTAATTCTAAGAGCAGGTGTATGTCACAACATAGTCAGCCTGTTGTCGGACAGGTGATTCGAGACGAAAAGCCGTTGGTGACTTGTCTACGGTCATTTCATGGTTGGTTGTATTAAGATTTGATCAGGTTACATTGTATATACGTGTCGAACGACGCAATGACTTAGCTCTGACGGCTAATCATCTTTCAAGGTGACGAAAATAATTGATTAATGTTGGCAAGTTAGAATTCTAATAGTTTTTCTCATTGATGAAATTTCGTTCTATACAATTATCAATACATGCTGCGATAATCAATAACTTTTCAAGTAGTTCTAATAGCCAAAATGAAGAATATTTTATTACAATAAGATTAATAAAATTAAAAAAACGATATTATACTGTTTATCGTTTAAAGTAATATCGAAAGGAAGCTACTATACCGTACTCGTATAGATTTCATGTTCCAAAAAAACGATTTAGTTTATATCAATACATAAATGATTTGATAAGAGTTCTTTTTCAGGACTAAACTTTAAAGATAGTAATTGTTTGTTGGCTACTTTTTCACTGAGGAAACGTTGTCCCTTTTTTCTTCGAATATTATTAGTCTATTTTTATATTTAACGTATACAAAAAAACAAAGCACAGCAAAATGATTATGCGTATAGAAAGAAACTCGCTTTGAAATATGCCAAAAAATACTTAAAAACACGAAAATTTTAACTGATACATTGTACAAAAGACCTGAAACCAAACTATTTACACAATGCTATTATAACCAGCTAAATTAGGTGTCAGTTGTTTAGATGATGTTAGCAGTAGACTTGAACTAGCATTAGTAATGGTGGAACCAGCTGGAATAATAGCTGTTTGAATAAGATGAGAAAGAGCCGAAGATGGAGCGGGTATAACAGCGAGACGACGATGACTTGATGGAGATTCACTAAGCATCATAGTATTAAAATTATCTCCTCCAGAAAATGGTTGTTTTCTTGGTGTAAATTGTCGATCTTTAATTGAACGTAAGTCATCACCTTTCGGTGATGTTGATTCATTAGGCCAATGAACGTGTTGTTTTTTGTTCATTGAATGAGCATGTGGCAAAGTTTGAGGAGTTTTACTATGGGATAATATAACTCGATCATCATTACCCGACTCCACATACGGACCATTATACGAACTGAATATTGAAGAAACAAAAAACAAACATAATTCAAAAAAGAAATAATTTATTTAAATATACCGTAGAGCCGCCCGCTGTTTGATAGTCATCGTCGTCATATGTGGGGATCGACTTTCCATTAGTTTTACTGATGGGTTTCTTGCCAAGCTAAAATATAATAAAATTAAAAAAAAGATAAAAATTGATGTCAAAATACGATTATGAAAAAGCCAATAAATAAATCAATGTGCATATAGAAATAAGAAATATGTGAACATCATAAAACACAACTAAAACACCTATACCAAATACAAATAAATATTGATCGACAAATATCAAATTTTAACATTCATATAGTTCTGTAGATTTAATTTTTAGACTCAATACACGTACATACAGATCCCACACGCGTTGTGTCCATGAAGTCGAATTGGTTGTTAGTAGTTCATCATGATTAGTATTTTTTTCAAGAGAAGGTTGTGGGTGACGAGCAGGAATTGTTTTCCAGCAGCTGTGAATGAATGCATTATTTTTGTGTATAAATACACGTGTAAAAAGAAGAAGCAATCATGTACAGATTATCGATCAAGAGAAGCAAGAAATAAAAAATATAAGCAGCTGTGTTTATTTAGATTTTATCAAGCAGATATTTGAGAGAAAATAATACGAAAATATGTTTCCGAAATTTTTTCTTATTTTGAAAGTGCTCAAAAAGAAAAAGAAAACAAAAGACTTACGAGAACTGTACGGGGAAAATAGCTTCGATATCTGCAAAACATAACATTTGTTACATTTATTTTTGTTTTTATCAACTTCTATGTTTATAGAATTTTTATGGACTACGGTCATATGATGACCGATAAAAACACAGAGTATTGATGAAGAGAATATTATCAATGATATATTGCATGAACACTTACTGATGACGAATACAACAAATGGCGATTACAATAATGGGAATAAGAAGAGCGCCGACAGTGATTAGAAGCCATATGGCAATTTCACCCGCCATATTTCCTACAATTTTCATAATCATTCCATATACTATGAACATATCATTTTCTACTTACGTTGAGTATATTGAGGAAACATTTTATATTCATACGATTAACAACAAAATATAATATACTAAAATGCAAAAAAGAAAACATTTTATGACTTGTCGAAGAATAAAAACCTTGTTTTTGTTCCTGTTTTTTCTTCTTCTATTTATGTGTGTTACTCGAGTAAATAGTATAATACTGAGCATAGTTACTATGAATATACATTAAATTGTAGTGATGTAATACACCTCGTCGATCCCTTTGTATACATAGATCATAAAAAAAAACGTCGGCGATAATCACTATTCGTGTTACTCTTACAAATCTTACTTTCAGTCAGACATTTGCAAGAAAAAAAAATACGGTGTGGTTGACCTGACGCAAGAAAAAAAGTGGCAACGCACATACATACATACATCTACGTCTCGTCCTGTCTTTCGATTACAATAAATAATGACTAGTTACCTCCTTTACATACACATTTACTCATTCCGCATTTTTTTTTCTTTTTCTTTCCTTGCAAAGAACGAAGAGTTGACGATGAAGCAAAGACATCATCGTATGAAGGAGATGAAAAAAGGAGGAAGAAAAAAAAAGAAAAAAAAGAAGAAGATGACAGAAATAGGTGAACTATTTGATGTTTGAACATAAGGACGAGAGAAATCCAATTCATAGTCTTTCATATATGTACATGTTTATCTATTGACCCATTTGACATCAACGACCGAAGAAATTCTTTTTAGCTCTCGTCACCTCAGTCACAAAAAAAGCTTTTATTCACATGATTGAACTCATATACACTAATAGAAAGGTCAAATACATAGAATAAGATATCATATACATTTAGATACCAGTGTCATAATCAGTATCTAATAAGATTTGTTGTGAAGAAAAAACGCTAATAGCAATTCTTACATCATCAAACTAAAACTTGAACATATTATTCAGACAGACTAGGATTAGTTTCATTGTATTTTTGTTAAAACGAATTACATTTCATATGAAAAGTATTATCGAATCAATTTGATTAAATATGATATTAATTTTCTTATAACAACTTTGTTTTTTTCTACTGTTATCATTACTAATAAAAAAAACTGTAAATCTAATTCATTAACAAATGTTACTTAAAAGATTTATTTATCTGAACGATATTATTCTTTCACGAGCGTCCCAAGATCGTAGGGTTATCCTTGTATCTTTCTTCTGGTATTTGTATATTAATATTCACATGAAAAATATTTATTTCACACTTTATATTCAATACATTATTTCTACTCTCTGACAAGATTTGATATCTCCATAATTGTTGATTATTATGGTGTAAAACTCAGATAAAAATCTCATGATAGAAGTGACAACAATAAATCAAAACATGTGATGAACAATGTCTTGTTATTTTTAAAACTGATGTGAAGATTTTTGTGAAAGACGTTCAATCATGATCACAATATATCATTGTTGAAATGCACATGTATTTTGTGAGTTTTTTTTATAAAACCTGAAAAATACTCGATTCTAGATCAACTATGTTAAAAGAGTAAAAATCTGTTTTTTTTTTCTATTTGAAACAAATGTTTTTTTGTGTTATATGTTAAATAAGTATATTGTATTCATAGTTGCAGTTGATATAAAAGTTTCACTTTTTCGATAAGATTCATATATTTTGATGATAGAAAAACAAAAGAGTAACTAACATCATTTTTATTAAACCTTTAGATGATGTTCACGTCTGCGAAATATTCACGGCCAATAAAAGTATTTGAAAGACTTTAATTCTCGTTTCATTCATATTTATTCTCTTTCATCAACTTTTAACCTGTATCATTCATTTGAAGAAGCATTTTTACATGTGTGTAGTTTTGTGACCCTTTTTTGACTCATTCCTCTCTGATGATCAAAATCCTACTGTATATCCGAGGCTAAACTGCTGAAGAATGATGTTTTCAACATTTGTTATCTCCTGTGATTATGTGAATTTCGTACAGCACTTAATGTAGAACAGTCAAATGATATAGAGCAATATATTGAGCATTATTCAAGATATAAGTTCTATCAGGATGGAAGTAAACAAATTAGCAATGAAGAAACAATTCATATGTTTATCGATATTTTGTATATCTTGAAGGACAAAAGAATATGACAAACGGCTTATTGAACTGTATATTCTACTAGTAACATTATAGGATAATTCTGACAATGTAAACCATTTCATAAATGATATATATCATGCATATTATTTTTCTTTTTTTTTGTTTCACAGAGTAATCATTGTTTCTGTTTTCATTATCGAGAGTAACAATGAAAGTGATGCTCGATCAAACAAATCTATATCAGATCAAGAAAAGCGTACATGTAATCAAAAGAAATCGATATGTTTTGATAGATAAGTCTACAATCTTTCATGAATAAAATTTTTATCGAAGTAAAAGTAATTCAATAAGTTTGTTTTTGGTAAATATTGATAATAGTAATTGAACAATTTATATTCTTCTATTTCTGATAAAATTAACTGTTACCGTAATCGATTGTTGATTTGATAGATAATAATTTAGTTTTAACATTTGGCTGTTTTTGTTTAAACTCAATAAGTTCAAAAGACCTATCCTCGTCGACCAATATTGGAAAAAAGTACTCTTTGTTATTTTATTACAAATACTTAAAAATTTTTATGTTTGATTATTATTGATTTAAAAATAGTGATCATACTTGTGCACTTCGTACTATTGGGATGCACTTATTATTATATGTAGATCGGTATTCGCAAAGAATATGATCAATCTAACGATAAAAAAAAAAGACAATAACACAGCAATTCTAACTTACTAGGATCAACAGTCTAATATTATCGTCACTCTCCAATGTATACAAGTCGTTGATGATAATGAAAAACTGTGATGTAAACATTCTCTATCTTGCGGGTTCTCCTGTTCTATTAAGATCTTTTGAACAGTTTTGTATTCGAAAGCAGGTTATGTATGATTAAATTTGTTTCGATTCATATTCATGCATAACTATTATGCTGAGCAAGAAAGTTCACTTGTAAAAATATTTCAAACTTCGTATGAAAAATGCAAGGATTTAATTCGATATGTAATCTTGAGAATTGTTTGGAAATCATTCAAAAAGAAAAAAAATCTAGTAATGACAACAACTGCTCTTGTAATAAAAAGTATTCATGAAAAATAATCATCTAAAAGTCGTATTACTCTTTGGTCTCTCTTGGGATTCAACAAAGGTTTTTACATAAAATTAAACATGAGCGTCATCAATTCGATGATTTCGTACAAACTACTAATATGAATATCTAATGACGACAAAAATCAATCAATGAATTGTTTTATCAATATAACACAAGCAACTTTTATAGTATTTATTAAAAGTAACTAGTAAAACAAAACAAAAAAAACTTTATATATTGCATCAAATAATTACATTGATAATTTAAACTTATTGGAATATTTGTAACTGACTGTTAGCACAAACCGATTGAATTAAACAGACAGAAATGCAATATAAAAATATTCTTCAAGCATGGACATAGATTAATAATAAAAAGAATAGCATGAAAAAAATAAAAATAACTATAAATTTTTCATTTGTTTTGATTTGTCATATCAATTGGAATAAATAAAATCACTAACAACACGTTCTACCTGTCGTTCCATGAGTCTGTTCCTTTGCTGATGTTGGTTGGATAGGAATACCAGTTTGTCGAATAGTTCCACTTGTATTGAAAGTATTTGAAGTCGATTCAGCCTTTTCAAGCATACCTAGAAGAAAACAAAAAGATATTAAAACATTGTTTCTTATTATTTTCTTTCTATTGAATATAACTAACGATGAGCTAAATCATTAAAGAGTTCTTCAATTCCTTTGTTTAATTTAGCTGATGTACAATAAAGTTTAGCATTGACCGATTTCGCATATTCTTCAGCTACTTGTCTGGATATATGACGATCTTTTTCAAGATCAATTTTATTTTCAACAATGCATAAAGCAACATCATCGCCTAACATTCGTTTCAATTCTTTAATCCAACTTTTTACCTTTCGAAAACAGAAGAGCCTTAATGTTTTTTTTACTATATTAAATTATCATACTTGATTGAATGAATCTTCATCAGTAATATCAAAAACTAATATGGCACCATTAGCTTCACGATAGTATAATGGACTAAATATATAAAAATGTTATGTGAATATTAATTTTGACAATAATTAACACAATACCCTAGTGCTCGAAATCGCTCTTGGCCTGCAGTATCCTAAATAATAAAAAACAAGATTTATCATGAAGAGATTTCTTCGTTATAGAAATTCAGAAGTTTATAACAAAACTTCTTTGATATATGAAGCTTTCAAAAAATGCACACTATTCATGGTAAAGGGTTCCTATATTTTGAAAGTCTCATATCTCGAAGAAACTTCTTTGAAAATTTCTGTATTTTTTTTATGAAAGTCAGTCTAGTTGAGTTCTCTATATACACAAAGTTTCAGGTCAAATTTTGATAGCTCAGTCAAATCTCCATAGAAATCAAAATCTTTTTAGGATTTTTATTAGAACACTATGTAGTATCGATCAGTAAAAAAAAATATTGAAATTAGAAGAGAACAGCTGCAGAGATTCCCTCTCCAGTATTTGACAAGATGATAGAGTACACAGAAGGACGATATAGTGCTTGGCAGTATTCGTTTTCAGTAAAAAATACTTACCAACAACACGCACTTAGGCCAAAGTACAGTTGTAAAACGTAATAAAATCGAAGTAGACTGACTGCTCAATGCTATGTCATTCTGCTGGGCATTGTGGAGTGTACTGACTTTTTACACGATTTCGTGTTTTGAGGAGAATTAATAAGAGGAATTTGAGTCAGAGCTCCAAGTCCTGTATGACTTTCGGTCTAACCTGACCTTCATATAATCCAAATGTTTTACCTACCCAAATGGCTAATTCGACACGGCGACCATCTAAATTCAATTTTTTAGTTTTGAAAGACGCCTAAAAGAAATGTGACATTAAAAATAAGTAGTATAAAAATGATAAATTCACTTGTTGTGTTTCGAGATGTTTATCATTAAATAAATTATCTGTGTAGCGTAGAACAATTGATGTCTAATTAAAAAAAAATAACAACAAAGATAGAAGTATTAAATTGATATGTTAATTTTATTATATCTTACTTTGCCAACACTACCCTCGCCAAGTAAAACAACTTTGAAAGAGATACTTCGATTCATTGTTCTTGTATAATAAATTCGCAAAAGGAAAAACAAAACAAAATTATTAATTGATGCAAAAGAAAAATTTAATCTAGAATCTCTAAAATAAACATGATACAAATCAATATATTACATACATTTTCATTGGCAATAAAAGACAAAACGACCGTGAGAAAAAGAAATCTCTAGAGAGTTAATAGAAACAAAAGAAAAAAATTTCTTTATACAAAAGACTAAAGCAAGAAGACAAAAGTCAGTTTTTATTTTAAAACTCCATAAATGGTGTCATTGTAAAAAAATCATTAAGTACTGCTTCTCTTGTTTCATGTTGAACTGGAACTAATGATGGTTCAGATTCTTGACGAAAATATGAATTATCTAAATTCATTGTACCACGTGGTTGTTCTGTATAAACTTTACGTGGATATGTGGCGTTTTCTACAGCTGATAAATATTGTTGATTAGGTCCAGTTGGAAGACCAAAAATCTTCGCGATGGATGTAGGAATATCACGATGTGTGGCTAATTGAATATAGAGTTTTTCAGCCGATAGAAGACACGTATCCAAATCGAGATTGCAGGATAAATCGTTGAAAAACTAAATAAATAAAGATTAAAAAATTTATAAAATAGAAAATCAAACTAGAATGAGTTTACAGAAAAAAAAAATTTGTTTTGAAAATAATCCACCTATATATAATATTGCATCGGGCGCATATCTATGTCATATATAATAAATTATGATTATTTTTATGTCTTTTGTTATATTGGTATTCATTCAAATCATTCGTAAATGATTCAATTTTCTTATGCAAATTCTGATGGAGAAACAAAAATTATGTTGAGTTTTTCTTATGTCAAGATGATCGAGCAATAAATTTATTGTTATTGAAGTAGTATCTGCTTGATTTTAGGACGAAGTTCATCTTATCAATAGGATTGAAACTTGTGTCTGCACCATATTCGAATATGTTGTTTTTGATGAGAGGCAGAAAAAATCTTTTGAAAAGTTGTTTTGCTTTTTGTCTTTATTTTCTAAATGTTTATCTTGATCATCATTTGTTGAATCAACTCTCGAGTAATTCTTGTTGTTTTCACTCACTATCAGTATATAAAACACAAATATTTCTCTAGCATAGAAAAGAAATAACGTATCTAGAACAAACAGATCTTCAAATGCGCACAGACAATACAATTGTCATAAGATTTTTTTCTTCTTCTGCTCTTCTTTGTACTCAAATAGAATAAATTATGTACGAACGTTAACCTTAATAAAATTAATAAAATAAATAAAAAATTAATAAGAAAAATAAAACGAATTTGAAATAACTAGTTCAGTATTGATTTTTCACTGTGTCTGTATGTCTAACAATGAGTACTTTTAGCTCATTAAAATGTCGAATAGGAGTTTTTGCTCATTTACGTTTCATTTTTATTCGTTTTTTTTTACTCTTTATTTTATTCGGAAACATCATCATCGATAGTAATGATAGAAGATCTGGTTTGACTTGGTAACTTCTATTTTCGCCGATTCTAATATCGCCGACTAATTTTTTTGACCGAAAATTACCAAGTCAAATATGAATCATTCTATATTAAGAGTTTTTTTCCAATTTAATAGGTTTATTAACAAACTCATTAATTACCAACTGAGTTGGTAACCATCTGACTTGGTGACCAAGTCGGTTAAAAAGAGTGTGGGTTTGGGTACCGGATTATACGAGTACCCACATACTTACGCCCACATCCTATTTTGCGCAAAAATTAAGACAGATGAAACCTTCATCTGGTGGCATCTATTTCTAACCGACTTAGTCACCAACTCAGATGGTTACCAAGTCATATGGTTACCACCTCAGTTGGTAATTAATGAGTTTGTTAATAAATCTATTAAATTGGAAAAAACTCTTACTATAGAATGATTCATATTTGACTTGGTAATTTTCGATCAAAAAAATTAGTCGGCGATATTGGAATCGGCGAAAGTGGAATAATTCGTTTGACTTGATCATATTGTTTTAAACGTATAAAAAGACCTTCAGCTTGTTTTAATAATGATTTCAATGGAATTTGAAATGAAAATTGATTGATATGCTAAGGAGTCATCGATAAAAGGCATCACGGTTAAGGGAGAAGAGTCATCCATTTCTAGACGTCCAAGCATTTACTATAAATATTTTCCTTTTTTGTCAAACAACTTTAGGCGAAACTTTCAAGCTTACGAAGGAACGATTCTAAAAGTCAAATTCTCTTTGAGTCTCATGGCAGGTGAACACGTGGCTTTCTTTTTTGGAAACAAATTTCTTTGCTTAAAAAAGAGTGGATGTGACCCAGAAAAGCATTTCTAACGAAAAAGCTTTTTGACGAAAACTTTTTGGAGTAGAACCTTTGTCTTCGTTTTTTCGAGAGAATTTTTCTTCAAAATTGTTTTATGTTATATATTAGTTGATGCAGTTTAATGTTCAAATTCCAAATATTCTATTTTCGTTGATTAGATATCTTTTCAAAGTCAGAAAAACCTAACATTTTTGGAAAGCCATTGTGCAATCCAAGAATGTTGGCGCTAACGGAGATTAAAGACAGTAAATAGAAGAATATTTTGGCAAAATTTGGAAAAGTTTGAAGGTTGGATATATTTGAATATTGAAAAAGTTTAATTTTCATTTTTAACCAAATATCCGTCTGGATGCACATTGTGAAGGAAAGCTAAAGAATGCGATTTCTACTTGGTCGTGCTTTATGGCTGACCACCTCACACATATATAAATACTGAATTTAGTATTCACGAAAAATAGGAGCAATAAAAATAAAAGACTTTTATTAGTCATGGTAGAAGAAGGGAATATTAGAATTCAAACGTAACAAAAAAAAAAAAACTTACTTTAAGAATTTCAGTACAACCAAATTTTGACTCTATTATCACTGACTTTTGTGAAATTAAGATAGCCAAACAAATAAGTAATTCAAAATTTCGACATAAGTGATCTGTCCATATGACCTAGAATTTTAATAATAATTAATAATTTATTTTATCAATTCATATTTTTATTACCTCCCATAAATACATAACATCATCAAATAAAAATTCACGTTTAAAACAAATTAACACCCATCGAAAGAAAAAATACATATTACTAGCATTATTTTCAACTATTTAATTAAAATAAATATTTAGTTGGACAGTGAATTTTATTGTCTATATATTTACCCAAATATTTTGCGAGTTCCGCATCAATAAATTGAAGAAGTGTATGAAGATTACTAAGTTGAGATTTTATATGTAATTGATCCATATGGAAATTTTGGTCCATTCGTGACATCAATCCAACAAAGCACCAAAACGCATCAATTTCATCTTCCATTATTACCAATATTGGACTTAATAAATCATTCATACCTTGTACATAACCTAAAAATATATCAAATATTAAACATTTTTTTTTTTATTTTAAACTTAACAATTTATTTGATTTACCCAAATCAAAATTGTACATATTATAAGTCATTAATATATCATGAAGTACTTGAACATGAGCATTATTCTCTCCTTGAAAATATTCATGTGTTCGGTCAGTTCGTGTTACATCTTTGTCTAAAATATTCAAAACCAAATCCATAGAAATAGTTATATGTAGAGTTTGAGGACAAAAATATTCTATGTTCACTCAACACTTTTATTATGCTGTTCTTAGTAATCCTTTTCTCGCTATGAAAATATTCTTGTAAATACTTCTAATATTATCTCGATATTTATGTAAACACCAAATAAGAAAAACAAAGATGAGTGCTGATTCTTCTAAATTAATTTACAGATTTAGGTAAATCTCCGAAAAAGAAAAACTCTTAACAGTTCTCAATATTAATCGAAGCCTACCTTCGTATTTGATTACACCTATCGATAGCTAACAAGCTGCAGTTTCGAATGACAGTCGAATGTAACTATTAATGGTTTCGGAAGCCGTAACTTGAAAAGGATAAGCTTGAACGGATCGAACTATATAAGAAACATCATACGCATAATTTTTTCGGAGGTTTTTAAAAAATTAGGATTGAACAAACTGGTGTCCTCAGAATTTAGAGTGCTATGGGAACTTCGAAAATCGTGACTTTTCGAAACTTTTTGTAAAAATATTTTTAAATATTATGTTTCGTATATGGTTTGATAATGGTGAAAAACACCGCTCTCTTCCTTGTTTCCGTCGAAAGTTCTTAGCAATCAAAACTGTTCTGCGACTTTTGGACCACCCTGTATATTGTAAACTTATCCGATAATGAAAATAATCAATATTGATCACTTTCGTTTTTGTTCTTCTTTGTACAAATAATAATAAAATTCAACTTTTCTTACACAGATATCAATATAATATTAAATAAACTGATTCAATTCGTATTACCCTTCAAGCAATTCGTCATTATGACCTAGAATAGTCAATACTAAAATCCAAGTTCGTAACTTTGTAAAACACGATTAATGAGAAGTATGGACAAATAGGGGTAGAAATTTAGATCCTTCTCAAAGACACCTTAGTAATGCCTCTCTAGTACAATTCGGTGGAACTCGAAAAATGTCTATTCTGCATGACTGTACCTTCTATCGTCAGTATACTAGGAACTTCATCGTGTTTCATATTTTAATCTCGCACGGATTGTGTTAATAGCTTTTTAATAACATTTATATTTTCCTTTAAGAAAACTTGATAGATTTCAGCTCTGAAATGCATCCTAATATTTCATAAATCAATCAAGAGAATATTTTTTATGTACCAATTAATGATCCTCGATCACGAAATAAAGCATTTCTTTGTTTTTGTTGTTCATTTATTGACTTCCATTGTACTTTCATTGAATGATATTCTGATTTTCGTTGTTTAGCTAATTCTATACGTTCATCACGTGTTGATGACCATGGATAATAGTTTAACAAAAACTTCCATACTTCACGCCTTAATATATTTGATTCTAATCCACCTCGAAATATTCGTTCTTTTAGTTTTTTAACATCAATTATACGTCCATCTTTATCAAATGACATTTGCCATTCTTTTACTGTTAATGGTTGACCACGTGCAACGTCCGGCAATTTTTTAAAATCCACCTAAATTATAAGAAAAAAGTGAAATGTTGAATGAAGAAATTTAGAAAATCATGTTAACCTTGTAAATAACTTCAAAACCATCATTATTTGACTCTCTAAAATCACCATTAAATGATTCCATAAGAGCAGTTACATCAGGTTCCGATTTTCTATCTGAATCTTCGGTTGTTGGTATTAATTCATTTTGACCAAGAAATGTATCTTTAAGAAAATTTGTTACACGAGAAAAACGCTCAATCGCAGTTCGACGAGAGTCATTTCCTTGCTAAAAACAAAAAAACGTTTATAAAAAATTAATTTCTTAGATATTATTTTATTAAATGTACATATCGCTTCATAATATCATTTGAATCGTCAAATAAATTAAGTTGATCAAAAGCACTGATCGATTGTGAAGAGATTTCTCGTGGAAAATCGTCTTTTACAATATATAAACGAGTATCTTGTGTTGATCTTTAAATAAAAATATAAATTTCATTTTAAAGAATAATAAAAAATAAATAAATTCATTTATTTTACTTCTCAAGTGGTAAATATTGAGCAAGTTTTTGTAAAAGTTCTTTACTTCCACCATGATTAAAATAAAAGGCTGGTAATGTTGTACCATCTTTAAGAATAAATACCATATGAGCTGTTCCATGAACCATATGATGTCGACGAACACTTCGTAAATCATTTAAATTAAAATGATAACGAAATTTCAATAGTGGACTAGATGAAACTGCTACAGAATCTAATGAAATGTTTTTAAAAAATCTTAATTTTCAAAAAATAGAAACAACTAAACCTCCATCATTTTTATCACAAACAATTGAATGACCACCATTAATAAGTGCCCAATCATCAGTCATAACATCTTCAAGACCTAATGGTACAAAACGAAAAAATTTTCCACGTTCAGCTTCTACAACTGTTATTGTTCCAGTTATTTCATCAAGTGGTGCCGCACGTGCTTCACTTTGTGGTGATCGTTCTTTAATAGTAACATTGTTTCGTTCAAACAAGATTGTATCTTTAGACATAGTAATGCTAAAAAATGCGAGAAATTATTTATGAACTATATTATTGACGCAGTTCGAAATGACCCGATTCAATAAATTTCATGCTTAATTTGAGAAAAAAACATGACAGCCTTGACAGCGAGGGAAATAAGAAAATTAGGAATGAATCGAGAGGTAAACATGTAGTTTTTCTTTACATGAAGCAAAAAATCATGTGTTTATTTCACGGATACAATAATTTAATAGAACGATTGAAACAGTGGTAACAAGTGAGGGGAAATGATCCAATCGTATTTTATGAACAAAACTCTGTCGTAAGACAATTTTATAGCTCAACGTCGAATAGCGACCTCATTAATTTTGAAACTTTTGTAATGATATTCATCCAAATTTAAAGCAAAGAGTATGAACGGCAGAAGTTCACATGGGATAAGATGAATAGAACACAAATTCTTTTGATTAACGTCTAATGGAATAGGATGAGACAGAAATATTTATAAATTGTCTTATCCGATGAAAAAACAGCCACTTATATAAAGATTTTTTATCAGGAAAAATATATTACTATTTTTTTCATATAGATAGCGTTCTTGTCTACTACAGCAGAATGATCAAAAAAAAATATATAAAAACTTTGTTCTGTTCTGTACTGCAAATAGTTATGCTTTATAGCCATTAGAGTACAGAGAAATGGATTATAGTGACTAAATAAATTAATAATTAAAAGTAGTGTATTAACTCAAGATTTAGCAATAACTGATGTTAGTGTGAGAGAAAAAAATATCAGCTATATAGTCTAATATTACCGTCACATATCATAACCAACATCTGTTAATCGAAACTTTATTATTATAATATAGTGCATTGNTTCAGGGATCAAATTTTGGGCATTGAGAAAATTGGTCGCATAGAATTTTTCTTTTTCTGAAAACAATTACAATAAGCTTTACTGTGTAGATTGTAGAGCTTTTCACGCTGCATCTTGTGGTGTATTTTGTTTTTCTTTTGATAAAGCAGATCAGGCGATGAAACAATGAAATAACAAAAATGAATTCGTTGTCTATCGAAAACATTATCTTTTTCGCATGGTCACAATTTGATTGCTCAAAATTTTGTCGATTTCGAAAACAAAAAGTGCAGCTATAAAACAAGTGGTCTTATGTAAATTGTAGAACTTTTCACGCTGCATCTTATAGTATATTTTTGTTATTAATACTACTAATAAGGAATTGAAAACTGCAACGCAAAACTTACAACCAGCACAAATACTAATGAAAAAAGGTTTTATCGAAAATTTATTATCATCATATTAGTTGAAGTATGATCAAATAGCATAGAAAGATAGAGCATTCTTTTCTCTATCAGACTATGTAGAAAGAAAGTTACTAAAAGCTTATCATAAGAAATTAAAGCATCACTCTACGAACTTTTGGTATGCCCTAAGTATTTTTTGTGTTTTTTATTTATAACGCATTTTGCTTAGGGCTATCCAAAAGTAATGACGGAGGTACTGTAATTCCTTATAAAAAGCTTTAAGAAACTTTCTCTCTATATAGTCTAATAGAGAAAAGAATGCTGTATTTTTCTATGCTATTTGATCATATTTCAACTAATATCATTATAATAAACTTTCGATAAGATTTGTTTTACTATGATATGTTCCTGATAGTACTAGTGTCTATTTGATAGTTTTTGTATAAATTTTGATCGAAACAAGATAGAGAGCTGCGATTTTTATCGTTCGAAGGAGGAGACAAAGATGGATCAAATCATGTATTATTCGTTTTCCTAGTATATGGTCTGATGTTTGCTTAATCAGTTCACTAAATGTTGGGAAAATTATTTCTTATCAAAAAGGAAGCAGAAAAAATCCTTTTATAGAAATTGCCAAAAAAGGCACTTAAAACTTTGACTAGAATGCTTCTAACTTCTGAATGAGTAATTCTAAGCCTCTGAACCTTGTGTAGTTTTGTAGATCTTCCATCGACGGTTTCAATACACACGTGACAATTGAGATTTTTCCGTAAACGCCTTACGAGCAGGTTTGTTTTCAAAAAGGTTGATTGAAAACCTTTAAAAAAGTTATGTGAAAAATCTATAATATATAACTCGATGTATCTTCATCTCTTCTTTCTAGTAATAAAAACCACAGTTCTCTAGCTTGTTTCAATAAAAAATTATTCAAAAAATATCAACTAAATAAGCACTAGTACTATCAGCCACATATCAAAGCGAAACAAATCTTATCGAAAGTTTATTATTATGATATTAGTTGAAGTATGACAAAGTAGCATAGAAAAATAGAGCATTCTTTTCTCTATCAGACTGTATATAGCGGAAGTTTCTTAAAACTTTTTATAAGGAATTACATTACCTCCGTCATTACTTTTGGATTGCCCTAAGTATTTCTCATTTAAGTCGTTTTTCTGAAGAGTTCGAAGTTCTCTTCGACATTGATACTGAATTTCGTATGAACACATAAAATTACATGCCTTCGGATGCTATTTTGTTTTGTCAATTGAAAGTGATTACAGATGAATCACAGCATATCACCGTACTGCAAGAGGTGCCAACAAGTGAATCTGATATTTATCGTAATACATACCCAACGCATGAGCGTAAACTGGATAGAATCATGAGACGAGAACGTCAACATAAGTTTAAGATTTATGGCAACTATCAAAAAAATGACTTTTGATTGCGTAATGTACAGACGGCATCATGGGTGGCGAGGAGCTGGAGAGACTTGGCTCGCATCATTATGTACAGAGCACAGTGGCTAGCTAGCGAAGTCAGAATGTTGAGGAGTTTCACAAGGCATGCAAATGTGCTTGACAACTTTACAAGAAAGAAGACAACAATAGCTTTTTCGAGCTAAAGATGGCGCCAATATACTGAATTACCTTTGCTACACAAGTCTCAGACTCGGAACGACAGCATATGGTAATGTGTTAACCTTACGAAATCTAGGTCTTGCTTAAGTAGACGCTGATCGCTCATAGGATGGATTTGCTTGCTTCTCGAAAGCTATAAATATTGACGAGCAAGTCTCATTCAATTCGTCATGAAGTACTTCTATGACTATGTATAACTTTGGACATTTCTTCCATAATCAAGGCGACCTTGGTCAAGCGATTAAAGATTTATCTGAAGCGTGATTCCAATATTTGAAATGCACTGAGCTAGCAACCGAAACTGTTTGAGCAGCTTCTACAGTATTTTTTCGTTCTTTCAGCGAATCTTAACTGACCTGTGTCATCTCTTCCATTTTTTCACACGGTAACAGCTTCTTGTTGTATAGTAAGCTCATGACGTTTTTCGAATGTGGATGGGTGACAGCGGGCAGAAAACTATCACTGACACCCATACCTTGCAATGACGTAGTTGGATTAGGTTTGGCTTCTAAAAAGTTGAAGCATCGTAGAAATTATTTCATCATCACTTAAGATGGCAGAAATTGGATAAGCAATTTCTCGCAATAGTTAGGACTCTTATTAACATCGAACTGGTTCACACGGCAATCGTTCTCTGAATAGTGAGAAAGTTTCGACAAAGAGGTAAGCAATGATGGAGCCAACCAATGCACCCAGTTGAACATGAACACCGAACCAAAACATTCCATTCGACGAGTAAATTCGAACGTAGTTAGCAATGACAAGACGAGGATAACCCATAAGAATATAAGTACTCAACCAAATGAGAAGTACGAGGACACTACCTTTTGTTGTATTCACATAAGGTGGACAGGGACTTTTGAAGGAAATAACTAAATCAAAACTAAATGTCACTGATCCTATTAAGATCATGATTAGTAAGTAACGTTTGCCGACGAATGGTTTGATTATGCCCACTAACCATACAAGTGAAAGCATCCAAGGAGAAAGAATCATCCCCAAGTAGAAGATTTGATGACCATATGGCATCAGAACATAGGCTGATATAGAGAGAAGTACACCAAACAGAACTGAACTCGTATAAACACAAGCAAATGAGAGGAGGAAATAAAATGAAGTAGTGACCACGTATTCTTCCTGTTTTCTAATGCAATTAACATCATTAGTAACATATGTTGCGTCTAATTCATTCATTTGTGATGGTGTAGGTTCTTTTGAAGAGACTTGACAGGAATTCTGAGAAACTTTGGTCCATTGTAATAGCACGAATGCGATGAACGACATAAGAAGTAGAAAAAATATGCAGAGAAAATAGATTGATACCGAAAATCGAGCAGTTTTATAAATTGCAATACTTGATACATTCGGTGATGTGTTGTTATCAACTGGTGAAATACATTCCAGTCGACCATTACCTTGCGTAATAGCTAAAAGGCTAGGTAAAATGGTCGTCAGACTTTCGCCGAGAAAGAGAGCACTAGTAAATTCAGCTCGAAAACGTGTCATATAGTCAGAAAATGTCACCATCGATGTGCAATCGAGCAACGACAGAAAAAATGAAAGAATAAGCAGAGACACACTTCGATTTTGTCTAAAGATGTAACTTGTATTCGACCAAAAGAAAACAAGAAATAGACACGATAGCATTCCGATAAATATGACAACATAATTTAGCGGAATTAAGTTGAGAGAATGCTTTTGAAAAGTACATTTCAAAAGAACAAGTGCTAATGGTGCAACATTTCCCATATTGGTAATTAAACCGACATAAGCTCCCAATTTCCAGCCTTCCGGTTGTGTCAAAACAATTTGGGGCAACTCAGAAAATATTCCGTTGACATCTGTCCAAGACGAGAGAAATACTAATGTCAGGAGAAAGTAAGTGATGTACTCGCTGAGTTTCCAGTGATTGTTGAACATGTTCAAAGACTGAATAGAAAAAATACATTCAACCAGGTATTGATTTACAAATGTTGCTTTGATCGAATGAAAGTTAGTATGGTAGAAATATCATTATGAAGAGCGAACGAAAGAATGACAAAAATATATTATTTCGATTTTTTGATACCTTACATTTGATACAAGAGAAGTACAAAAAGTAAAGTTCAAAACAGTCGATAACCTTTT